AAAGCTGGGGGAGGGCGAAGGGACGAAGAGGGGGGGGAGGTGGAGGAAGAGGCGAAGGAGGAGGAAGCAAGGGGAGAGGACGATGGGCAGGAGGAAGGGAGGAGGAAGGGGAGGACTGCAGCGGGGATTACAACAGGAACCCATGCGCCTCCCCTGTGGGAGGCGTCTCTGAACAGGACAACTACTTACAAGACCGGTGTACTGCCTGCTGCAACTCCTCCTGATACTGCTCACAAGAATTTGACTGTGATCCAAGCTTCTCCTCGAGCTGGTGCGAATGCCAAAGACGACGCAATGTTGCCCTGTACACGGGCAAATTCAAACAGAGTGGGGAAGCAACGCAACGGCCATGATCAGCAATTCACTTTTTCCCGCCCGAAGGACTCCCCGAAACAACAGCCTGACGCTTCGGTACCCCAGACAAGAACACACATATCAGATTGCCCCGTCGCTGCTGGCCAAGATCGACAAGAAAGTGTTGCTGCACACTTGTGGAACTGACGATCGATACACGCGATGAAGCGCCGACTCATCACCTGCACCACCACCATCATCAGAATCAGCATAAGCGTCAGTATCATTAGAGTCGTCGCCATCTCCACCACCACCATCACCACCACCACCACATCATAATCCTCATCATCATCATCATCATCATCATCATCATCATCATCATCATCAGCAGCAGCATCAGCATCAGCATCAACATCACCAGCACCATAGCAACAACATCCTAAACTTCATCCTCCTTTTCCTCCTCCCCTCCTTCTCCTCCTCCTCCTCGCCGCCACCGTCCTCGAAGTTGACGCCGCGGCCAACGTCGCCGATGTCGTCCGCCCGCTGGGTCTTCAGCGCGGCAGTCATCCCGTCCAGGTCCCACGATTACCATCACCACAACCACCACCGACGTCACCACCACGACAACGCTCATCATCATCATCATCATCATCATCATCATCATCAGCAGCAGCATCATCATCATCAGCAGCATCATCATCATTGTCAGCACCTGCATACATAGCATCATCATCATCAGCAGCAGCATCAACAGCAGCATCATCATCGTCAGCATCATCATCATCATCATCATCATCATCATCATCATCATCATCATCATCATCATCATCAACAGCATCATCACCATAAGTATCAGCATCATCGTCATCATCATCATCATCATCATCCTCATCCTCATCCTCATCCTCCTCATCCTCATCATCCTCATCCTCATCCTCATCCTCATCCTCATCCTCATCCTCCTCATCATCCTCATCCTCATCATCATCATGATCATCCTCATCCTCATCATCCTCATCATCCTCATCATCCTCAGTACCCTCATCATCCTCATCATCCTCATCATCCTCACCATCATCAGCATATCATCACCACCACCATCATCAGAATCAGCATAAGCGTCAGTATCATTAGAGTCGTCGCCATCTCCACCACCACCATCACCACCACCACCACATCATAATCCTCATCATCATCATCATCATCAGCAGCAGCATCAGCATCAGCATCAACATCACCAGCACCATAGCAACAACATCCTAAACTTCATCCTCCTTTTCCTCCTCCCCTCCTTCTCCTCCTCCTCCTCGCCGCCACCGTCCTCGAAGTTGACGCCGCGGCCAACGTCGCCGATGTCGTCCGCCCGCTGGGTCTTCAGCGCGGCAGTCATCCCGTCCAGGTCCCACGATTACCATCACCACAACCACCACCGACGTCACCACCACGACAACGCTCATCATCATCATCATCATCATCATCATCATCATCATCATCATCATCATCATCATCATCATCATCATCATCGTCAGCAGCATCATCATCATCAGCAGCAGCCGCAGCAGCAACATCATCAGCATCATCATCATCATCATCATTGTCAGCATCTGCATACATAGCATCATCATCATCATCAGCAACAGCATCAACAGCAGCATCATCATCGTCAGCATCAGCATCATCATCATCATCATCATCAGCATCATCATCATCATCATCAACAGCATCATCACCATAAGTATCATCATCATCAGCATCATCATTATCATCGTCATCATCATCATCATCCTCATCCTCATCCTCATCATCATCATCATCATCATCATCAGCAGCAGCATCAGCATCAGCATCAACATCACCATCATCATCCTCATCATCATCATCATCATCAGAATCAGCATCATCATCATCATCCTCATCATCGTCATCATCATCATCCTCATCCTCATCCTCATCATCATCATCATCATCATCATCATCCTCATCCTCATCATCATCATCATCATCATCATCCTCATCCTCATCCTCAGCATCATCATCATCATCATCATCATCAGCAGCATCATCATCAGCATCATCATCATAATCATTGTCAGCATCTGCATACATAGCATCATCATCATCAGCAGCAGCATCAACAGCAGCATCATCATCGTCAGCAGCATCATCATCATCATCATCATCATCATCAACAGCATCATCACCA